ACTTTCTGGCTTCTACTTCCTTCACTCTGTTAGTGATACTCTCATTTGAGTTTTTAATTTGGTTTATAATTTCCTTCATTTCTAGAATTATTGTTTGATTTTTTTTTGTAATCTCTATCTCCTGATAAAGATGCTTATTTGCTTCTTTTATCTGTTTATGTAATTCATTTTCAATGTGTTCTTTCATTGTTTGAATTTGCTGTCTCATATCCTCTTTAAGATTCCATTCCATCTGTCTAAGGTATTCCTTGAGTTCTTTATTTGACCATTTTTATGATGCCTCTAGGTCCTCCTGAATATTTAGGCTGTCCTGCATTGTTTGTACTCATTTTCTTCCTTGCTTTTTCATGCTGCTCATGTTACTTCTTGTTCTGTTTGACTGCCAAGTTACTGTTTACTCCCATAAATTTATTTGGTTTTGTGTGTCTCTGGGGTCTCTCTTTTGTGATGAGAGGCTATGACTAGAGATGATGAGTTTTGTTGCACTTTAATGCAGATTCATTTGTTTCCTAAACTGTGTATGGATTCTGATGGCATATAGCGGTCTGCGGTTTGGTCTTGGGACTTATATTTAGGTCGAATGATGTGATGGTATTGAGGTTGGTATCTCTTGGCAACCTTGGAAGGTTGCTCTACTGACAAGGGATATTAACAGGAGAATGGTCTGGAGTATTTGGGGGAAGCTAGGGACTTGGTAGCACTATATAACACCTCGGAACATTGACCTATACATATTTAGTAAATTACACATAAGCAGCGTTGTGATGCTTGGAAGGAAAGGTATTAGAAGGGAAGGGAAGAAGTCACTAAAGAGAATGAGAGTAAACAGGTAGAATTCAAGGAAAGGGGAATAGGGAAATTGAAAAGAAATGAAAAGACAAAAGAAAAAAATGGAAAATAAAAAAAGAAAAGATTAAAAAAATCAAAAAAAGTAAAAAATTAAAAAAAATTTAAAAAAATAAAAAATAAATAAAAATAAAAATAAAACAAATTTAAAAAAATGTAAAAAATGCAGTCTTAGAGTTTGATTAACTTCTCTTCCAGTAGGTGGAGCTGTGCCCACCGGGCCAAGCTTCTCCTCTCAATACACAGGAACCAATCACTGTGCAGCAGCTCCTCCTCCCCGACTGGGCGGGTCTCTAATCCTGAGTGCCTAGGGCCTTTTCTTGTGTCTAGTCACTTCCCCACTTTTCCTCCAGCCAGGCCCCGCTCACAGGTGACGCTCACCACAATACTGGCTACACGCCAGGTCTCCTACTCCTGGGAGCCCTATTTTCTTGAACGACTGGGCACACTCTCCCTGCTTGCCATTCCCTCAGACCCTAAGATTGTGGAGCTTGGGGCTGAGAACCCTCAGTGTATTTTGCTTGCCCTCCGGTAGCCACGCCCCCGGTAGCTGGTGCAAGAGACCTCAGTTGTCAGCGCTGGTGGGAGCCATAGCCGGGGGTCCCGCGCCACTCCTGATTCCCTCGGTCTGACTATCGTGCTCACAGGAGAGGTGGGAGGGGCCCTTGAGGTTTCCCCGCTGTGTGGAGAGGGAGGGCTAGGGGGTTACACACCTGCCGCCGCTGGTTTCAATGAAGTTATCTCCTCCGCCGCATTCTGCCATGGTGGTATCCCATGCGAATGGCAGCAGTTCGTTCGCTTTGCCGGGTGACCGAAGCAACGGGTGGGTCCTGACCGGCTCTCCCAAGCCATTGTCGATTCTGTGGGCACTATCTATGAAGGCTCGGTTAGTATTAGCCTCTGCAGGATCAGGAGGGACTGACAAGTTGTTTCCGCGGGATCATTTAGCGCTGAGTCACAGCGGTTTGTCTGGTTTGTCTGGGAGATGCAGGCAAACGGGAGCCTGAATTCGGCCGCTCCGGGCTCGGTGTGTGTTCTGAGAGGCGCAGATTATTCGCCCCAGATCCACGTTAGCTCAGCATTGCCTAGTGATCCTGAGCAAATAGCATTTTGCTCAGAGTCTTGCTAAGTTGCTGAGTCTAGCCTCAAACTTCCATCTTCCTGCCTCAGTCTCCTAAGTCACTGGAATTACAGGAGTGCACACTGTGCCCAGCTCAGAAGTGATGTATTTTAATGGCACATATGCATCTAGTTGAGCTATCACTCATATAGCTCATAACTATAATTAGTAACAGTTAAAAATAACTTCATTAATAGTTAATTTCTTTTATATTTCTGTCATCCAAATGGACTTATCCTAGACATACAGTAGTATTTGCTTTACTAAATTGTTATACAATTGCTATAACCCAATTAAGCTATTTGTTTTATATACTCTTTTTGAAGAACATTTTAACAATATTAAAATAACTCCTTCTCATATAAAAAGAAATTAGCTTTTGTTCTTAAAGAAATATTTATAGTAGAGAATTTAGAATTTTAAATAATTGGCTATTTTAAATAGGTATATTTAATTTTAGAATTTTATGTACATGTGTAACATGTGGAATGTGGTCCACTATCATTTTGATAGAAGGTATGTCTTAATTTACATTTTATAGTTCTCAGTATAGTAAGCAAAACTGCTATACTATTATTAGTTTATTTGGTTTTATGAATGCATAACTGCTGTTGCATATGTTGCACCAAGGTGTATAGTTCTATTAAATCTCATTCCTGATAGTTTCCTAAAATGCTAGGAAATGTTTCCTAATTTAGATTCATGATGAATATTTAAGTCATTTAGGCAAAGTTTAGTATTGACTAGTTTATGCATATGTTTTATTTAATAAATACAGTAATTTCCCCCTTATCTGCAGGAGATTTATTCTGAGACCCCCAGTGGATACCTATAACCATTGATAGTACCAAAATTTATATGCTGTATTTCTTCCTATCCATCTATATCTATGATAAAGTTTAATTTCAAAGTTAGGCATGGTAAGAGATTAGCAATAATAAGTAATAATAAAATAGAACAATTTTGGTCATATACTAAATTATATAATAGTTATGTGAATATGGTCTCTTTTTTCTTCCTCTGAAAATATCTTTTATTATCAGGCAAGTTGATCCATAGTTATAATCCCCACAACTCAGGAGTCTGAAATAGAAAGATTGCATGTTTAAAGCCAGCCTTAGAAATTTTGTGAGACCTTGTCTCAAAGTAAAAATTTAAAAAAGAGATAGGAGTGTCCTCAGTAATTAGAATGCCTCTGGGTTCAATCCATAGTACTTAAAAGAAAAAAAATGTTTTGTACTTTAACCTTTTCTCTTAAAGAACACATTTTATGGCTTATCTTTGGCATATCTGAGTTACCAACATTATTACTCTTGTGCTTTAGGGCCATTATTAAGCAAAATATGGGTTAATTGAATGTAAGCACTGAGATACCACAACAATTGATCTGATAACCAGGACAGCTATTAAGTGACTAACAATATACAGTGTGGATGTTGCTGAACAAAAGAATGATTTATATTCAGGTGGGAGAGTGCTGGAAGGTACAAGATTTCATTATGCTACTCAGAATGGCATGCAATTTAAAATTTATGAATTGTTTATTTCTGGAAGTTTTCATGGGTGACATAGGTAAGTGAAACAGGAGAGTGAAACTATGGTTAAAGGGGGACTACTGTACATTATCTTTATAATGGTTCAATTCATATTCCTATTTGATAATATGAACAGCATTCCGTTGCCCTTTTTTCCCTGAATTTAAGGAATATTATTTCAGGCCACTTCAATATCCTTCGGAATAATCCTAAGCAAACTATAGGCCATTTTTTTGCGAATAAAGTTTTATTGGAACACAACCATGATCATCCACATATATCTTGTATGTGGCTGTTCTTTTGTTTCAAAGGTAGAGTGAAGTAGTTGTGACATACACTGTATGGCCTACAAAAGTTAAACTGCATTTTCTAGCTTTTTCCAGAATATGGAATAATGATTAAAGATCATATATATCAGAATACCTATATTCTGGATCTCCAGGGAATTTAGGGACAAATTCTGTTCATATTCACAATTCACTTAGTCAAAAATATTTATTGAGCACCAGCTTTGTACTAGGCCATTTGTAGGTATTGGAGACTCAAGGAAGAAATAAATAATTAACAAGGCACATAAAGTCTTTTCCCTTTTGAAGGTATCATTCTATTATAAAAGAGACAATTACCCATGAAATTTTTTGGAGGGCCGTATTGGAGATTGAACTCAGGGGCAAATCAACCAGTAAGATACATCCCCAGCCCTATTTTGTGTTTTATTTAGAGACAGGGTCTCACTGAGTTGCTTAGTCCTCACTTTTGCTGAGGCTGGCTTTGAACTCATGATCCTTCTGTCTCAGCCTCCCAAGTCTCTGGGATTACAGGCGTGCACCATCGTGCCTGGCCAGCCATGAATATTTTTCTCTTAAAAACAAGTAGGTCTTTTTGATTTTGTATTAGATTATTTATGACATTTAAATATAATATACTCACTTAGGCTTACCAACTATATTGAAATTACATAGGATAAGATGTCCATTATTATTGAGTCTTAATGTCTTCCTTGACAAAGTCTGTAGAGGTCATTCTCCTTTTGGGTTATTTTGGGTTCTTATCTTTGTTTAGGATAAATTGTATTCTTCACTGTGGATGTTAAATATTTAGTAAGCATATGCAAGGTTCATTGAGTTGCTCTATGCAGGTTTTCTTTTAGAGAAATTCAGTTCTGCAATGAAAAATATATATAACTAACATGTGTCAGGTGCTTTAGTAGATAGTTTACATATCAACACATTTACTTCTTCTGAAAATTCTGTGATTTATTAGAATTGCCACTTTGCAGATGAAAACAAAGTTCAGAGAGAAAGGTAAGGTGAAACAGTTAAGGCACGGAGCTCCCACTGGCACCTTGGCCTTGTGATTTGCAAATAAGGTTTTTTAAATTGGCTTTACTGTAAACGGAACTTTAATTTTATTTGCTCTTTTAGTCTCTTTTTTTGTATGGAATATTGACATATGAAATATGGAATATAATTTTCTTTGTCTTTATGTATATGTGTAAGATAATAATATAATCCAAGAATGTGGAAAAGAAGGAATCTCCAAAGATAAAACCCAAGTAAACATGAGCCAGCAAAGAAAGCGAGTAATTTCATCAGGAAATTCAGAAAGTATATCAGCAGAAGATGATGCAGGAAAAAAGTGCAAAAATGCTGATCAAGAAGAGTCTATCATTTCATCCAAGGTGATTTTTAAAAAATGTATTATTTGATTATTTACTTTCTTATGCCTCTTAGTAGAGCTTCTTTTCCTTTTGGAAAAATGTATCCAGTCCCTATGGACTCAACTTTGCTTACTTATAGAGTCAAGTTTTATAAGTGAAAGCAAAATATATTATGGCTCATATATATTTGACATAAAAACTTATTAAAATTAAACTTTTCTTAGATAAACTTTGAGCCTTCACACATTCTACTCTTTGACCTCTGAACATATCAATTGCCTTTGCCTTTTTTTTAGAAGAGAAATTATTTTATTCAAAAGAACATCTATGGTATATATGTTTTACTGTGCTTATTCCAAGTCATAAAGTTTGATAACCATGAGAAAAACTTTATATCTTTTAAATTGATAAATAATACTAAGCAAATCCAAGATATTTGAGGTATTTTTGAAATTTTGATGACATCAAGGGAGTATTACAGACAAGTCCCAGAAAGAATTGAGCTCTGCTTGGCTAAATGTTCTTCCTCCCTTAAGGGTTCTGCAAGAGATTTACCCCTCCTTTATGCAGAGCTTTCTGGTATAGCTGGGCCAGAGAACATGACTGAGACTGAAGGCCTGAGTAGGGCCTTTCCAGAGCCCACCTGCATCTCTGCCCACTTTCTTTCAGCTGGTCCTGTAGAAATAGCTACATTGCAGAACAGGTGAGAGAAAGTGAAAAATGAGAGAAAATAATAGGTTGGGCTCACCTGTCTAGTCAGATGGAGGGCATTTGCCAATTATTAAGAACTCAAAGAACAGTTTTGGTGAGGGCTTCAGAGCAGAAGTGGGATTATTTACTTGGGAAAAAATGAATTATATTCTCTTAAAGAAAAATAAGTAAAGAGAAGGGATAGAAATCACCTCCCCCCTGCCAGTCCTTGTTCCTAAGATTCCTACTCATTTGTTCTGTGTGGTCTGTTTATTAGTATGTTAGTATTTTAATGTGCCCTCGAAGTTGAAAGCTGTCCCAAGATCACATTGCTAGAAACCTCAAGTCTCAAATAGATCCTTTCATTTGGGATACAATGGATTTTTCTCCTATATAGATTAGATTGTGTGAAAGGGTTTGTGACTGTAATCACTTTGCTTCATGAATTAGTTCATATTTTTCACTTTGCTCTGAAGTAGTTCACATTTTTCATCAGTTCTTGTGTCTTTCTGAAACGTTTAACAGTTATGTAATTGTCTATTTTAGAAGTGAAAATTAGAGTTCTTGAATTGATTAATGAAAAGAATGGTTGCTATGGTTTGAATGTTTTTGTCCCCTCCAAAAAATTATGTTTAAACTAAATCCACAGTGCAACAGTTTTGGGGGTGGGTTGGCTCATGAGGTCCTCACCCTCATGAATGGATTAAAAATGCTGTAACAGGGGCTGGGTTTATGGCTCAGTGGTATATTGCTCGCCTAGCACAGGTGGGGCGCTGGGTTCAATCCTCAGCACCACATAAAAGTAAAATAAAGTTATTGTGTCCAACTACAACTAAAACAATAAAAATTTAAAAAATGCTATAACAAGGGTTTTTAAGAGTGGGTTTACCCTTTTTGCTTTTCTGTCACCTCAGAAGACAACATTCGTTCTCTTTTGCCCTTCTACCTTCTACCCTATAAGGAGACTTCATCTTGGGCTTCCCAAACCCTAGAACTGGGAGAGAATAAATTTATTTCTTTATAAATTACTGCAGTATTCTGTTACAACAGCACAAAACAGATGAAAACAATGGTATTTTTTTAAAACATAATTTTACATAAATCATGAACTTTGTCAGAAGTAATATTAGGAAGCCTGATCCAGTTTAAAGCAAAATAGAATTGTAAGGTGTATCTGCTCTTTTTTGCTGTGAAATAAGCAACCCCAACACTTAGTGGCTCACTACAACAAAGATTTATTTTTTCTTATAATTCCATGAGTTGGCTGGGTCAATTTGGACAATTTTTCTGTGGCATATTTTTAATGTCTGCTGGGCTGCATTTTAGCTAGGAGCTGTGCTGAAGCTGGAGCATCTGAGATGGCTCCAGGAACATCAATGGTGCCTCATCAAGGGGTAATGGATAACTAGGAACTGGCTGGGTCTCCCACCTTCCACTTACCATTAATTAGTCTAGACTGAACATCTTTATTGACAGCTGGATACTAAGAGGGTCAAAGAAGCTGCCAGATCTTTTAAGATGTAGAGCTAGAACTGTTACTGTGCCATTTCTACCACATTCTTTTCATCAGAATAAGTCATCAGGTCCCAGGTAGATGGGATAGCTGGTAGAAGAGCAAAAGAAATTTAAATATAAGTTGAGAATCCCTAACCTAAAAATCCAAAATCTGAAATACCTTGAAATTTGAAACTTTTTTGCACTACAAAGAGCTCAAAAAGTTATGAATTTTTAAGTATTTCAGATTTGGGGTTTTCAGATTAGGGATGCTCAACCCAATAAAATCTTCTCAAATATTCCCAAATCCAAAAAATTGAAATCTAAAACATTTCTGGTCCTCAACAGTTTGGTTAAGGGATACTCAACCTGTAGTAGGCGGGAAACTACTTTTCTTAGAAGTTTGATATTATGGAGGGCAGCAATGTGAGGTGGGAACTTTTGCAGAGGGAGGACCTTGAAATATTTTCATTCACAGAAATAACCCTTTTAGCTCTTTAGAAGAGAGTTTAAAAGAGAACAAGTTGAAAGTCTCAGAGAGGGAAGAGATTATGGCATTAACACAGTCAGGAAATAAAGAGAATTAGAGGCAGGGCAGTGACTAAAAGGATAGTGAAGTGGCATTGGATTAGAAAAATATTTATGAAAGCAAAACTGCAGAAGTTGTTGCTTAGATTTTGGGAAAGTACAGGAATAAAGGACATCTAAATTTTTGGCTAGGATTAATGGATATGTTCTGTTGGCAGAAACTGGTAGAGAATACAGACAGGATTTCAGCTTTGGCATTTTGAGTTGAAGCGCATAGAATAATTGAGGCAGAAATGTTGAGCTAGTGTTAGAATATATGAATTTGAAGCTTAGGAATGAGGTTGTGGCCAGGAAGTTGGGATTTTTCAGACATTAGCATGTGTATACTAATGGAGTCGATGTAGGACTTATAAGGCAACTAACTGGCACAGACATTTGTGCCAAGGAAAGCTTGGAAACAACAACAAATTATCTCATTGAATTTATTCTAGAAGGAAGTTCTTTTTCCTGTTCTTTGTAGTATATTAAACTTCAGATGGTTGAGGGGCTGGAAAGGACTTCTTGGGCAATTTAATAGACTATTTTAATAGCTTTAACAGTACATTCCAGTCACCTGCAAGCACCAATATTGCCTTCTACCAGCTTCATGTTCTTTGTTCTCTGAAGTTTTTAACATGTATTTTCAGATTGTAGGGGATCTGGCCATTCTACCACGTATCTCTGGCTTTCTATACTAAATCCTTCACATTTGCATCAATTCTTAATAAATTAGCAATGTGAAATGCTTAGAAAAAAATGGAGCTCTCTGTTTTCCTCCTACCCCTCATATCGAGAGCCTTCCATCTTTTCTGTTCCCTCATTCACAAGTTGCTTTAGCTCATGAGCTTTGTAATTGGCACAGTACAGATTTATATCTCAGCAAACTTACAGAGTACTTCAGGTAATGGATTTTGGGATCATTTATAAATAATTGAAACTGTTAAATTCTTGAATGCCAAGGGTCTACTGTCTATCAATATTTCATGGAGTTCCAAAAAGAGCATTATGAATTCTAACTTTTGTACCTCTTAGAATATATTTGAGAACTCCTGATCCATAATATTGCTATTCCTTTCTTTTTTAGAGGGTAAATTAGCATGTCAATTAAACATACTCCTTGTGAGGCCTTAGGTTTTTTTAAATAAAACAAATTCTTCTTTATATTTAATGAAATTAGAGAGTGTTGAACTATGATGCTATAGATTTCATTTCTTGTATTTCATTTTCTTTGGATTTTCAGGTTTTTTAATTATTTCTTGCATACATCACAATAGAGGAGTGCATTACATTCATAATTTTTTTGCATTGCAATTCTTAATACACCTTTATACCACAATTTATCAAATCTCTATTTGTATATAAGGTATGTTGACACCAAATTCACATCTTCATACATTAATTTTGTATAATGATGACCGTCTCCTTCCACTATCCTTGCTATTCCCATACTCCCTCCCTTTCCCTTCCACCCCTGTTCCCTAATGGGGTTGGGAGAAAGAGCAAGGGAGGAAGATTACCTCTGGATTTTCAGTTTTTATGTAGCAAAATACTATATGCTTTTTGTTAAAAGCAGATTTGGAAGCATGTGGATTAAACACTTTGATTTGCCTCATCCTTGGATCTACTTTATGTATTCGTTTTATGTATTCATTCAAGCTTTATATCTGATTTGCATAAGTAAATACACATATAAATAGATGGGAAGTTTTTTTAAGCTGAAGAGTATTATAGTATACATATTGCTCTTGTTTAGTTAAAAACATCTTTAAATATGTCATTATTACTTTAATGTCCCATTCTATCCCCAGGCTTTACACAGAGAGAACCAAGATGCCAGAACCTTTTAAGGTCTAGGATAGTGCAGTGTTTGTGGGGAGAATTTACCTCCTTCCTTTCTAAAAGGCACTGTAAGATAATTAGTTATGGAGTTTAGAAATGCCAGCAGGAATAAGAGCCTGACATTTTATTGGATATCTGCTTAGGTAATGGAATTGCTGATCTACCCCATTGCTGAAGGGGGAAAAAGAAAATTGAGAAGAGCTGACCAAGTGTGGGGAGGTAGGTCAGGATTGCCCCATTCCCATCCGAGAGTTTCAGTTGCTAGTACGTTCCAGATGGTCCTATAGTAGCTGTATGAGACTGGGATGGAGCAGCTTAGAAGCAATGTATATTGTTAGAGATGTGACATGAATGCTACCAGCCAAGGCTAAGCTACAAGAGCTAGACAAATGATTGCTTTCCCTGTGGGTTATCTATTACTATACAGAACCACAGTAAGATCTAGGTTAGTTCCATTTGCAAGGTGAATAGTATTGAGTAGTATTTTGAAATTTACTGTATTTATTTGAAATATACCATATTTCTTAAAAAAGAAAGAAAAATATTAAGACACTAAAGTAAATACTTCAAAAGAAGTCATATTAATAATAACTTAAGAAATTTGAACTATTGGATTCTAAGTAATATCAAACCAGCTTTTTCTAGCTGGCAGTAATATATATGAGTTCCTTACTTATATATGGAGGTGAGCATTTATGTGTAGCTGGTATGTAGTCATCACATCGTATGAATGGTTACCAGGATGGCTTGTATGTATCTGAGCACTGCTTCTACTTCACAGGAAGGATAAGTTATTAAGAGATCATTTAATAAGATAAGACTAGGATTATTCTTTATGCTAGTGGTAAGTATAAATTAAAAAGCTTCTACAGTACTAATGAAAATGTTTATTTGTTTCAAAACATCTTTAAATTGGTTAAACGTTTATATGGGAAATGCTTTTTTTTCTGAATTTGTCATTGCATACCTTCTTGCAGAATTTTTGATTGTGTGAGCTAGGAACAGTTTTACCATTCAGCTACAGAAAAACCATAATTATATTTAGAGGGTAGAAATAAAGTATTTCAGTAATTTTATAGGATTATAAGGACAGTGTATGGGAACAGAATGACACATGTTTGAACAGAGACATTTAAGAGCTATTTTTGAGAGATTATATTCAAATGAAATTAAATCTTTATGTTTCATTTGTATTTTTCTGATTATTTTTCATTGAACGTCTGACATAATTATAAAGGTTTAGTGCAACTTTAAATTTATTTTCTAATAGTTGCAAATTGTTTCAAAGTTGCTAAACTAGAGATGTTATGGAGGAGATTTGTCCTATCCTTGGTTCTTATGTCTTTGCTGAGAAGAATTCAGAAACACACACACAAAACTTAGAGTATGAAACAGCTTTAAAAGTCTCCACTTCCCAGATCCACCTACTATTGGATTGACAGTTATTTGTCTCATATTTTGCTTTCCCAGGGACTCAGGGTCTTGTCACAGTCACAAGTTCCATTTTTTTCTGGTCAGCATTGTTTGTGTATCTTGTTTAAGATATTTCAGCAATTTGGCCCTTTTGAGCAAACATGTCCTTACCCCTGGTTTTTACCCCCTGAGTTCATCTATCTTCCTCCTCTTATAAAAGGAATAGTTTAGAGAGCTGAGATCAGGACAGGGTCCTGGAAGGCTATCTTGTCAGACCTTGAGGTGCCACTGATGCAGGACTGTTGATTTACTGATTTGTTCTTCACTAAGTATTTCTTAAATCCCTGGCCCACTGCTCATGTCAAACTGCTACCTAACAGAGACAGAAAATAGTGATTTTTTTTTAAGTAACTTTAAAATGTGAATCTTGAAAGTTTTAAAATTTTACATATTACATAGATATTGTAGTTTCATGCTTCTGTGCTTAAATTTCTTTCAAAAACATTTCACTTATTTCAGATTTTTTTATTTTGTAATAGGAAATGCCAGAATCATTTTCTACAGTTACTCTGAGTAGCACAGATATAAATACTCTGAAGACAAATACACAGAGAAATGAAATTCCAGTAGAGGAGCTTGGTAAGGTTTCTGAACATAAAATCATAACTAAAGGAACACCAAATAAAGACGACAAGGCAGTGAGCTATTCTGAGAGTTATTCGAGTGTTCCAGGCAGATCATCCTGTGGTGAGTTTCAAGGATCTCATCCCGAGTCTACCTCTGATTCCTTCAGTCCTGAAACTTTGCATGCAAAAACAAGTGATTCAGTTCCAGGAGGTTCCGAAGAAAACAGAGTCAAGAGAACATCCTGCATGTATGGGGCAAACTGCTACAGGTAAAATGAAATTAGAGTAGAATATAATTTCAGTATTTTAACAGTACGTAGCTACATAGATATATGCTGTAGTATATCAAAAACCTAATAAAACCCATTAGCCTAAAGTTAGGAGCTTTTCTACTGGTTTGCACTTTCTCTATATGCATTCTAGCAAATCCTGCCAGAAGCTCTTAAGATACAATGGGGCATTGAATGTTTTATATGTAGACATGCTGACTAATGCAGGAATCTGAATACTGGCGAATCCAGACTTGAAAATGGAATCACCCAGACTTAAATACCTGCCTATTTAATGTCTTAATATTCTAGAGATGGCTTCATAAATAGTTGTTGGGTATAGTCTATTATGATAATTTTTAATTGTGTTTAGGTCTCTTATTGTATATTTTTATTTATTTATTTTGGTACTATGGATTGAATCTAGGGCTAGATAAGCACTCTATCCAATGACCTAACACCCCCAGTCTTCTAAAACAACTGAATATATATTTCCTGGGTTAATTGATTGCTCCTGTATTTATATCACTTAATCACATTGTCCTGTATTTTCTAACTTCATATTTTGTGAATTCAAATTATAACATCTTAGTTTTAGACTATAGTTTCATCTGAAATGTTTATAGTAGCACGTAAATAATTGTACAGTTCAATTTCAAAAGGATTTCTTTGAGTGCCAACTTGTCAAACTAAATATCATAGCAGTGCATTCCAGTAGAGTTTGTTGTCTTCTATGCAGATAGTATATTTACCCCATATATTCTGGTATTTTTACGTTTGTATTATTTCTTTTTAAAATTAGCATTCAAATAATTGTAGTTTTCAGTGTCAACAGTTCTCAGTTTTGCATTTATATACAATTTTGTCTATTTGCAGTGGCCTTATTGTATATCTAGAATGTCATATTAAAACTTGTAGAGTACATAAGCCTGATCTTGCTCTGGATTTTGAAGAATCCCATTTTGAATTTGTATTAGTTCCTTAGACCTGCCATAACAAAATACTACAGACTTAGTGACTTAAACAACAGAAATTTATATCTCAGAGTTCTGGAGACTAGAAGGCCTAAACCAAGGTGTTTGCAAATTTGTTTTTTTTCTGAGACCTCTCCCCTTGGCTTAGGGATGGCCATTTTCTCATTTAGCCTTTTCACAGTACTGATACCTCTTTGGTGTTTCTTCCTCACTTCATAAAGATACCATTTATATTGGATTAGGGCCCTACTCTTATGACCTCATTTAACCTTAATTATCTCTTTCATAACCCTATCTACAAATGCAGTCACATGGGGGACTAGGACTTAAACACAGGAATTTTGAGGGGCACACAATTCAGTCCAGAAGATGTATTAGCACTATCATTGTCTTTGTTAAAAGGTGATTGAATGTTTTATCAAGACCATAATTCACTTATTCACGTTTGATAATGATACAAGTTAGTTTTAAGTCTTACCTTTAGTTATTTTATTTTTCACTAATTTTGATATGTATATATAATTAATATGTAAAAATATTTAACATTCAAACCTTGAAAATAAAATGTTTATAATTATAACAAAGGGGAGAAAATAACAATATTGAGTTTTTGCTATATATGTACATTGTAGAAATCAATTAAATGCAGCTATCTTTAGCTGCATTGATACTGCTTTGTTTTATACCATGTCTCTCTCTAGGACAAGTGAATAATCTCCTAAGTCTCCTTGCTTTCCCTCAAGATTATAAGAATAGAGTATACTGAATAGAATATTATTCTTGAACGTTAGTTTTACTCAATCCCTTGATGTCATGTTGTTGACTCCCAAATCTGTATCTCCCAAATAGATTTCTGTACTGAATTTTATTCAGGAATATACCACTTACATCTGCAGGAACTTCAAATCCAGCATTTCTAAAACAATTAAATCTTATTTCAATCCTTTGTGAAACAAAACAACAACAGTAACATTTAACTTTATAGGAACTGTTGCTTCCAAAAAATCTTCTTTGAAGACTTTATTCCTTTGGGGTCATATAGTTTTTCTGTTTAATATCATGTGTTCCATGAGTACATTACTTTAAAAAAAAATCAACCATAAATTGAGTTGTCTGTTATTAGCATATATGAAATTTATGTCTTAAGTATAATTTATAGCTTTTATCTATATAAACTCACGTAAATCATTTAAGGTGATAGTATGTAACAATATTTTTACCTCTGGTAAATGTGAAGTAATCTTGTTGAAGACCAAACTTCCCATGAGACCAACTGGAAAAGCTAAACAGTCACATTTGAAACATCAGAGGCAGCCAAGACTTTGAGTCTCCTATTCTCCTTGTGAAAGCTGCCAAATTTTTAATGTTTCAGACTGAGGGTTGAGGGGCCAAGCAGAGTTTTGGGCAGTCTCTTGGGACAACAGTAATGGAATTCAGGGTTTGCCAAGCAGGAGGGACCATGAATGTGGAAGCATAAATGTATTTCCTGGGAAGGAAAATATGAGTATAAGTATAAATGAATATTGACTATATTAAGAAATAATAATTTTTAAGATGTACAAAATATATTGAAGTAAATATAGCACTAAAGTGGTTGATGATTAAAGCAAGTAAAAGCATTCATAGCTTTGTAATAGCTCATAAATTATAAGAGTAATAATTTGTATTAGATATAAATTAAAAGTTAAATTTATAAATAACAATTATTTTTTAAAATTTATTTTTTAACAACATTATTTATTAAAAATTAATAAGAAATTTCTGGGTAATCATCCAAAAAGTGCTTATATAATTAGAGGCTAATGAAAACAGAGAAATGAACTCATTTAAAAATGTGATTAACTAGAAGAAAGCAAGAAAGGAGAAAAAAGGAAACAGTTGGATAAATGGAGAAAATAGTAAGATGGTAGAGTTAATGTTATTAGTTATTAGGAATTATACGCTCACTTAATAGAGAAAGATTGTCACCCTGGATAAAAAGAAAAAAAAAAATTCTTCAATCTATTTGTAAGACTCATACTTTAAATATAAGGACACATAAAAGTCAAAATTTTAAAGACAGAGAAACATAAACCCTTAAACTCTAAAGAAGATCTTGTGTATGCATTACTAATAAAAGATAAAGTAAGAACTGGGCTTAGCACACGCTGTAATCCCAGAAGCTCGGAGGCTGAGGCAGGAGGATCATGAGTTCAAAACCAGCCTCAGCAAGTTAGTGAAGTCCTAAGTAACTCAAATGGCTTGGGGATGTGGCTCAGTGGTTAAGTGCCTCTGAGTTCAATTCCCAGTACCAAAAAAAAAAAAAAAAAGTAAAAATTAAGGCAAGACATTACTGAAGATATTGAAGTTATTATGGTTTGAATATCTCCTGGAATTTTTGTGTTAGAAAATTAGTCCCCAGTGTGGCAGTGTTAGGAGGTGAAGCATAGGGGGAGGTATTTGGATCATGGGAATAAAACTGTCATGAATAGATTAATGTCTTTATTACGTGAATGAATTTTTGCTCTCATGGCATTGCAAGAGTGAGTTGTTATAAAACAGTGTTTTATTACATACTCACTTGTTTTTCCCCTTTTTCCCTACCATGTTATGATGCAGAATGAAGTCCTTACGAGATGCAGCCTTTCAATCTAGAACTTCTTAGCCTCCAGAACAATGAGCTATATAAACTTTCTTTATAAATTACCCAGTCTTAGGTAGTCTGGTATAATAACAGAAAATTAAAATAGAGAAGCCATTCATGTTGATAAAATAGTCTTTAATATGAAAATACTAAATTGTTATGCACCTAATATTGCAACTTGAAAACACACAGAGCAGAAGTTAAAAGGAGAAATACATTTACAATTATAATAGAAGATTTTATTATTTTTGTCAGCCATAAGTCAGTCAGATAAAATAATTAGTAAGACTATAGATTTGTACAAAACAGTGGACAAACTTGCTTTGGGTATTTACTATACTTCACTGAAAAACTGATAAAAGTACTTTTGGAACACTTCCCAAAGTAAACCATCTCTTAGGACATTAAAAAATTTTTTTTAAAGGATTAAAACTGAACAAAAATAAGGGTATTTCTGAGTACAGTGTAATTAAACTAAAAAATCAACAAAGTAGAATGAGAAAATCCCCTAGTATTTGGAAATTAAGAAATTTGCTTCTAATGATGTTAGAAAATATATTAACTAAATTATACTACAACTGTGACTTATGAAAACTTTTATAATGTGCTTAAATCTGTATTAGAGGAAAATTAATTGTCTTAGATGCATATATGAGAAAATAAGAAAGACCATCAGTGAACTGAACTTTCACCTTAGAAAAGGAATAACAAATTTAAAGAAAGTAGAAAGAAGAAAATAATAAAGGTAGAGAAGAAAATGATGAAAAAATAAAGATATAAAATAGAGAAACCAGAGGTTTCTTTTTTGAAATAACTAATAGCATTATTAACTCTCAGAATGACTGAAAAAGAGGGGACAAGTAGGGAGTAGGAGGAAGTGGGGATAGTGCAGAAGTGGAGGCCAAATTACTAATACTGTGAAGGAAATAGGGGCTTCACTGAAAATCTTATAGACATTGAAAAAATAATGAGTGAATATTATAAACAACTTTATGCCAGTCAATTTAAAATTTGAAAGAAATGAACAAATTCTTGTGAGGGGGGGGACTCTTAGCCAAATGAATACAAGTAAAAATATGAAATCAACATAGTCCTATATCCATTGAAAATTAAATCCATAATTATATACTTTGATAAGGAAAGGTATGGTCCCAGAGTACATTACTGGTGAATTACATTAATCATTTAAAGAAAATGGTAATTATTATATAATATTTTCAGAGAATATATAGAAAGAAATCTCCCAATTCAATTTTTTGAAGCTATCATAAACTTGATAGCAAAATCCAATGAGAATATAGAGTGAAAATCTTAAACAAAATAACAGCAAATTGATTCTTGCTATATATTAAAAGAATACTCTGTCACTACAAAGAGTTATTTCAAATTCAGACTTGTGCAAA